CCCGAGGATCCCCTGCATGCTTCGCTCTCCTTCTTGTCTTCCTGAGGTGGATTCACGATCCTGCAGTCTAACGAAAACACCATTTCTTGCTTGCACACCTCTGCACCAAGTGTGGAGACATTGGAGCGCTGACAAGGAAGCCTCTCAAGGCGCAGAAACAACAACCAAACCAAACCAAATCCCAGCATCGTAGCCGAGCATCTCCGAAGACCAATCCGTTTGTCATCACCGGCTACCTACCCAGGCTGGAAAGGGCTTTTGGGGACAGACCCCTCACAGAAGCCCCGGAAACCTTGCCGAGACAGGACAAGGACACACGCGCCAATGACGGCCGAACCTATGGTCATTGGCTTGTCGCTGTGCTCTCTCTCCTCATTCTTGACGCCGTCTTCTCCTTTTTCCCTCCCGCAGGCACCCGGTCGACAAAACGGGTTTCCAGGGCTTGATCCGATTCTCCATGCCTTCTCCTCCCCAAAAAGGCACATGGAGCCGCACATCTTGACTTTCGGAGGAATAGCTCGCACGCCTGTCACAATGCGACAGACACTAGTAGAGAGGGGCCGAGAAGAGATGAGGAGGAAATGAACTGATGGAGACGCCCAAAGGAGAATCAATTTCCATCCAGGCTCTGGCCGGCGCATCCATCCAACGTCCCTCTGCCCACCCCATCACAGCGTCGGAAAGCCGCATCACCACGGCGGCGGCGTCCGCAATGTTTCGTGTTGCTTCGAGTGGGCTTATCTACCCGCTCATCGTTTGCACCTGTTGTTTCCTTCGTCTCTGGAATCTGCCGGTAAACAGCGCGTCAGCGAATGCACGGCGGCTTCCCTTGACTAGACACGACACAATCGCATCGCCAATCCCAAGCTAGCGGTTGTCTCAGATGCTGATCCTGCCGCACGTCACTCGAAAGGCAGACACTGAGCGCCTTTGCACTTGTGCCAAATATGGAGGTGCGGAGGTGAACACACAGGCAGCCCTGGAATGGTTGTTGCTGGTCGTCAGGCGCCCGCTGCCAAAGTGTGGGGTAGCCTATCCTCGGGCAGGAGACAGCTCTTCCGTGGTCACAACCCTGTAACCTTGGCACCTCCACAAAAGGTATTTGTTCATGTGGTGCGGCTGGTACCTGACGACCAGTCATGGCCATGGCCACTTGGCAACAGCGGCTCGCGTTTGGTCGACGACCTTCGTCAAACATTGTCTTCAGCTCACAACTATTTTATTGTTTCTTCGCTCTGGATGGGCCCTGAGTCTTGGACGGTCCT